GATGTCTCCTTCAAAGAGGGCAAGGCCAAACTACCACGGATATTGAATGGCCAGTGCTGAACCCAGTGGCAGAGCTCCCCCTGCCCTGAAGGGAGGTGGCCTTTAACCCTTTGGGGCTTCCTCAAGAAGCCCACGCTCCAGGCAGTGGTGTTTCACCTCACACAGGCAGCACCAGGCATCCCAATTAAAAGCCAAACTTGAACTTAGCAGAGGTTACCAGCTGTGGGACTTCTTGGTGCTTGGTTCTCTGATCTCTTCCAAGCTGGGGTGTTAAGGACTGAGCTGTAGGATACCACAACCTCAATGCTGGACCTTTCAGCCTGAAGGAGTTTCTTTTTAGCTGCTCTATCTAAACATACTTTAGACCTTCCTTCAGGATCTTCCACATACTGAAACAGTCATTTCATGTCTTTTTGAAGGCTGGATCTGGAAGTTCTGTAAGCACAAGAAAGGCAAGAGACCCACGTGAATGTTGCTCCTTGTCCTGTCTGCTCCCATGGCCATAAAACCCATCTTCCCTTTCCCAACCTTTTTGTTCCTAGCAGCTCATTTTAAGTCCCCATCCTGCAAAGACTCTTTGAAGTTTCAAGTGCAGGGGTAAGGGTGCTAAACACAGACAGTGGCTTGGTAACAAGACATCAACTTCAACGACTTAACCCTTCACTAAAAGCCTGTCATGGGCTTTATCTGACACTATCCCACATCCAGAAAGAGGATAATCCAAATATCTACTTATTTAATTGTGCAGGGCAACTGCCCAGATAAGGAGAGCTATAAACTTAATCCAGCCAATTATTCTTTATCTGCTGCAAAGGTTTTTTCAAGCTTCCAACAAGTGCTAACTTGAAGAGAGTTTTGCTGCAGAAAGAAAGCACCAAACGTTTCCAGGGGAGATGAAACCACCCCTGTACTTTGAGCCTGGGCTATCCCTCGAGGTTGTTTTGCTGCATAATAAAATTGGTGCCTGTCTGGAATTAGCTATAAAGGAAACAAAATAAGTGAAGTTGTTCCT